CCTTGGCATTCATCTTTGTCCAAAGGTACATCCTTTGACCCTACCCAAGAACTCAGTTCCCCTCTAAGGCTGAAGTCTGGCCCTAAATCTTTGCCTAGTGACTGGGTCCTGCTGCCATGGTTAGGTCTCAGATAGGAACTGCTTGTCCACCTCAGGCCCAAGTGTTGACCCTCCTGGACTAAAGCAGTGCCACCTATGGGGATGCCCCCCCCTTACTAGACATTCACCCCTAACTGAGAGCCACTTCATGTCGAACCTCTTGCCCCATCCAATACCCTTCATTTGCCATTTAGGACTGATGTAGCTGCCCACCTGTGCCCCTGCACCCTGCACTGTTAGCCAGGTCAGTTTTCCAGCGTTTATCCTGGTCTCCAGAAGCAGGTGCTATAACAGGCCTTGCCAGGTTGTGCAACGATTAAATTTGCTGGGGCATCTAACCAAAATCCTCAAGTGGATTTGGAGGTTTTTCAGTATCAATAACTGGTAATTTTGTGCTCCATCAACTTGGCTAAGCTGGAACGGTGTTTCCCAGCATGCTCTTCCCTACATGGTTCTGGGTTACAGTTGGCTAAGAGAGAGAGAGCTGTGCAACATTTGGAAGGCAGAAAGGAAGCAGCAGCTGTGACTCTGAAGGTCACTGAGGTTAGAGGTGGTGAGACAGAGGGGGTGGTGCCAGTTGTTAACGTCTCCTCTCTTTCCTGCTGCAAGGCCAGTTCTACGGCCAACAGCAAACGCTGCTCCTCACCAGTGCTTGGCTGTGAACCTTCCAGGCCTCTCCCCGGGCCGCTCCCTGGTTTGCACTCCCGCAGCTGGATGTGCCCAGCTCCGCTTGCCCAGCTCGAACTCCTGCACCAGCACCAGGGCTTGGAGAAGACTGGTTAGCAGTGTTTCTTCCCTAATTTTAGGGGCGACCAGCTTTCTTTTGAAAATGCTAACACGTTTTCCTAGAATTAGACCAGTATCAAATCAGAATTCTACCAGGAATTGTTTCTTTTTCTGAGTCCTAGGTCTCTTCTGCAAGTCCGTGGAGAAGGGTGGGGGTCCGCTGCCCCTCCTCTGTGAGCTGGGGATAGTATTTTGGACTGATTTCTTTTTATATGTCCTGTGTTTCAAACCCTTAACAAGGAAGAGTTGGGAAAATAGTTTCCAACTCAAATACGTAATGAGCAATTTGTTTGGTAGGAAGTAGGGAATGGCAGGCATCCTCAAACGGAGTTAGAGAAATCCTAATTACTTACACCTGCAGAAGCTGTCCCTTTCGCGAGGTGTGTAATTAGCAGTCAGAGTGAGCTGGAGAAGTATGATTGCATTTAAATACGGGGCGCAGCCCAGAGGCTGCCCATAGCGGAGCTCTCCCACTGTGTTCATTAGCCCAGTTCTCCGGTCCCTTTAAGGCTGACTGCATGACTGAACACAAAGTGTGTGGCCAACAGAGCCCACACACTGTCCTCCAGGCAAAGCAGGTGTGACTACTTAAAAAAAAAAAAAAAAGTCCTTTTCATTTTGTAATTATGAATTTTGTTTTTCTAGCCCCGTTGTTCTCAGCTTTGGCTGCACATTAGAATCACCAGGGAGATTCTTTTCAAATCCCGATGCCCAAGCTGTACCTAGACCAATTAAATTAGACTCTCTCTGGGGTAGCAACAGTTTCAAAGTTCCCCCAGGTGATTCCAGCGTGCTGCCAACTTTGAAAACCAGTTCTAGACCAGTGGTTCCAAACTATAGTTGCATCGGAATCATCTGGCTTGTTAAAACCCACCCCCAGAGATACTCAGTAAGGTGTGTGTGTGGGGGGGTGTCCAATACTTTCCACTTCTCATACTTATTCTAAGAATGCGATCAATGCTCAAAACAATGTTGAATTCCTTTTGATATTAATCTTTTTCTGCACATATGACAGGCATTGTGCTGAGTTTTTTATAGCCATTGCCTCATTTAATCATTTTCACAAAGCTTTCCTTCTCATCCTTCAGGTGTCAGAAACAGTGCCAACCTGGGACCTCTTCTGTCGACCCTTTACAAAGGTACCTGCCGCAGTCACCAGCACATCACCTGGTTTGTTTTCGTCCAGGCTCTTACCACAGTCTGTGATCTCATTTCTTTCCTCCGCCAGTTGCACGTAAGCTCCAGGAAGGCAGAAACCCTGCTCACCTGCACCTTGTGCCTAGAGGACAACAGGCACTCAGCAAACACTTGCTGAATGAATGAATCCAGAGCCACCCTAGGAAAGTGGTACCTGGTATTTCACAGACCAGGACATAGAAATACAAAGACTAAGTGACTTGTCCAAGAGCATAGTGGAGGAACTGACTCAAACCATCCAGGCTGGGCTTTCAAACCACTGCAAGAATTGAGTAAAAGATTAAGTCTTACTCCCCAGCAATAAACTGAATTACCTAACAATATCATCTTTGCCTTACTGTCACATGATTCAAAATTGTATTTTCTTTTTCAAATAACAGTAAAAATCCAGAGCCCAAATCCATGTGGGGCTGTAGAAACAGTGGCAATTTCTTTCCTATTTAAAAACTTTGCTGTTTATACCAGAAACCTTACAATGCCCCAAAGCAGGTTAAAAATTTCCCCCTCATAAAGATTACATCAAAACCTTTTAATACAAAATATTGGTATTTAGTGGAAGAAAAACAACATGAAAACAAAGGGATTTGAATGATCTGACTTTATTGAATATGCCAATACAATTATTCTGGTAATAAATTAATATATACAGTTACAAAAATGTTGAGTTTCTCAGAAAATGCTTCTGAATGTGTAAATGAATTAGAATCATTTACACAGTTGACTTTATAATTTTCAAACTCAGAAGTGTGGAAACATCAATTACTGAAGCAGAATGGAATCTCCTTCTCTTACAATCATGATTTAGTTTTGAGTTTATTAAGGTTTCAGTGATCATTCAGCTCCTGCAAGAAGCCTGATGTTCCAGTTTAAAATGCACCTGACCCAGTCTCCTAAGCGTACAGTTCAAGGATCCACTGGCCTGGCCAAAGACTACACAGCTCGTAAAAGACAGAGGCTGAATTACAAATCGGTTCTCAGAGGTGCTCCAGAAATGTCTGTTGAATTAAATAAGGCACATTTATCACACAGAACTCTCATCATGTCTGATAGACCCTAGTTTTACTTTCTGCTTAACAGAAATTTAAATTAAATCCTGATGTGTTCTTTTGTAGTTAACAAATTTAGTGACTCGGTTGCTTTGGAAACAAAATCGTTCCCATGATTGCAGCTTATCACTAATCACTGATTGCCATTTATGCTTCTTTTCCCCTGAAACGTTTGGACTCGGGCCACTTTTCTCCCCGCTCGTCAGCGCTCCCAGACCTGTATCGAGGGTCTCTGTCCTTGTTTGAAATTCACCATGAACCGAGGGAGCTAATATCATCGATATCTACAAAGCCATCAACATTTGCACGTGGGGCAGCCTTTCTTTGCAGCTCATTTCTAATCAAGTCAGCACCTGCTCTGTTCATCTGAGCCATCACTGATTCCAAAGCAAGTGTGGATGACTTCTGGGGTGTCAGTGTCCCAAACAGCAATGAGATTTCTCATCACATCAAGAATATGTCATATAATACTTCATGTAATGTACCAAGTACTTCCGGCACACATTTTTGATGATTTATGTCTCAGCTAATGGCTGCACATAGCCATTCTGCTGGCAGGCAAAAAAAAAAAAAAAAAAAAGCCCACTGTTTTAATTTAAATAGCAATGAGTGTGTGCTGCACGTTTATCAATCAGTAATAGAAATGTTCACATTTTGGCAGGAATTTTTCTCTTTCCTTGTAGGAGCCATTCCCCAAGCAACCTGCCAGACAGTGTTTTTGTTTTTGTTGGGAAAACAAAAAACAAAAAACAACCGTATACACAGAGCAAAACTGTGTATATAAAGGGAATTTTTGAATTTGCATGTGATTTTAATTTCTTGCTACTCTCAGATGCAGCAAAGGAAGACTGATAGCATATCTTTACACATTTCTTTTTCTCCAGGGCAACATTTCTCTGTAAGAGTGAATGTTTGGCTTGCCTGCAACTTATAGAGGCTTATTAGATGTGCTCTCGGGGGCATATTTATTTAGAACAGGCATCTCATTTTCAAGTTCTTCCTCAGCAAATACAAGACTTGTAAAAGCTTTATCTTTAGGAGCAGTGAGTTGATTTCATGGGAATGCCGACAGCTCTGCCGCTGGCTATGAAGACGTGACATTAACCCCCACCTAGAATAGTTTTATTAGTCATGTGTACAAGTAATAGACAAGAACCTAGATACAGAAATACTATTTGCTCTGATCTGGCAACAATCAAGCATTTAATTTACTAAGCTGCCACGTTTTTCTATCATTCTGTTGCCCATTTCACTTCCTTGGGCTGTTTTTCTTTTTGTCTTGTCCAATTTACAAGGAACATGCAGAATATTGATAAGGGAACTCCACATTCTCTGACCATTTCACTTTTTGATTTTTCTTTCTTTCTCACTAACTTGTAGCTCTGGAAAAAACTGTGAGCTCAGTGTATTTTCTCTCTAATACCATGACCAGAACTGAAAGCATGAAGTACAATGGAAAACACATGCTTAACGAAACAGGACATTCTAACAACGGCCAGACCCAGAAGATGGGCTGGAAGTAGGGACTGAACATGCAGTAATAACAAGGCAACTCATTTTCTTAAGTTCAGAATAGCAAAGCTGATGTCAAATGTCAACAAGGGCTAATTTTAATCATCTTAATAACCAATTAAAAAAGAAAATCTTTTTTATTTTATTTAAAAATTTTTCTTATTCCTCACCTGAGGACATTTTTCTATTTATTATCAGACAGAGTAGGAAGGAGGGAGAGAGGGACAGAGAGAAACATAGATGTGATAGAGCCACATCGACTGGTTGCCTCCCACACAACCCAACCAGGGCCAGGGATGAACTGCAACCGAGGTACATGCCCTTGACCAGTATTGAACCCGAGACTCACTGGTCCGCAGGCCAATGCTCTAACCGCTGAGCCAAACTGGCCAGGGCAAAAATCTCTTTTTTAAATATAGGAATCCTAATGACTTTGAGGTAGATGATGCTGTTATCAGATAATAAAGTAATTAGGCATAAGACATAAAAATAACAAAACTGGAGGAATTAAAGCACTGATGAAAAGGTCTTTAAATTCACAAGGAAAATTAAGAACACTTTTTCCAATGCAAAGTTCTAAGCACAAAATGCAGGTACGTCATGTCATGGACTTGCTTCTTTAACTGGAGAACTCGGAGCCGATGGGAAGAATCCAGAGCAACAAACTACAAGATGGTTGTCCCCATGAGGAAGCCAGTAACTGTGCCTCTGATCTTTCCAGCTTAGCTCAGCCCCAAATATTCAGGATTTGGAGTCAGAAAGTCTCTCCTAGCATTTAACTAATTCTTTGTTGGTGGAAGGGGCTGGGACTGTTTCTCCACACATAAACTGCTCCTACGAAAGAAGAGAAAATCACATTAACCACTGAGTGTGTCACAAATGCATCAGTATCAAACTTTCATCTTGTTACAGAATCAATCCAGCTGTTTTTCCATTGCTATACCACTTCATCCTTGTTCAGAGAGTCAAGGACAGCATCAGAATTATAAACTTAAAAATATATCCGTTTTTAGTCACAGATTCATATTTAATATAGAGCACTTTATCTTATAAACAAACATGCCTATCTTCACTACAGAGCACCTACCTCTCAGAAATCACATTTACAAAGACACTGTCACATCTTTTAAGTTTCTGTATTAATTACTGTTTACACTAAAATTTCTCTACTTCAGTATCTGGCCATTCAAATGCCTGTCACCTTCAAAATTATTTCTTCTTCCAACTAAAAGGGATAGTTCTTTATGTGTTCCCCAACAGAGATAATCTGCAATGTTAGCTACTCTGTAAATAAAGTTCAATCTCGGATTATTTATCCTGGCTTACGTCAGCTACCACAAGAAATTTCTGCCTCCTAGGTTGCTCTCACCCCCTGCAATCTGACCCCATGAGGATCAGCCTATTATGTCCCGTTCCCGTCCTTCTCTCACTCCTGCCAGCACCTGGAATCCTCCCACTGTGCTCCTTGGAATTTACGGTCCATCAGCAGCAGCACCATGCCCCACATTCTTTTCTTGAGAAGAAAATGGTTCTCAAAGTGAAGGGGTGGTGGGCAGTGGTGTTGATTTTGTCTCCAGGGGACATTTAGCAAGGTCTGGAGACATGCTGGATTGACACAGCTGGGGTGTGGGGTGCTAATGCACAGAACAGCCGTGTACAACAAAGAGTTATTCAGCCTCAAATGTCCACAATGCTGAGGTTGACAAGGGGATGCCCTAGGGTCACCATTTCTCACGTAACCCCCCCCCCCCCCCCCGTGATGCTGTGTTCTTTCGGAGCCCCAGCACCACTGAGGCTAGAGGAGGGGCTGGTTGCTCCTTTCTGCCACTGCTCTCCTTCCCTCTCAAAAACCCACCAATCTGATTCTTATGACATGAGGCTATGTCATCACTACTCCTCTCTGTTGCTGTCATCTACTCCCCTTGGGTCCCTCATCCGAACCCTTCTGGGATCTCCAGTGTATCTACCTACCACTTTTTCACTGCCCCTCACTCCCTTAATGTTTTCTTTACCTAATTTAAATTCCATAGTAAATAAATTACACAGTCAATTACATAATCACTCTTCTCTCCTTCCTATTCACTTGGCAAGAACAGAACCTGGTTAAATCTAACCATCTGTGTCTACATTCACCCACGTAGTTGAAGGTCTACCATCTACACCCTCTTTCGATCCTCTATCACAACCAGTCACTACTCCATGTCTCCGCTCCCCTTTGCAACAAACTCGCTGAAAAAACCGTCTACGCTTATTGCCTCCTATTCTTCTCTCATTCTCTCCAGCAAGTTTTCCACCAATCAGGCCCTATCTCCATTACTCCACTAAAACTGCTCTCATCACCATCACAAGTAGCCTCCTTGTTAAAGCCAACAAATTTCCAGTTATCTTTCTATGGGTGGCACCCCACAAGGTGGATCATTTCCTCCACCTTTTCTCATCTGGCTTCCAGGAAAGGACACTGATGGTTTTCCTCCTCCCTCTGCGGTTGCCCCTTTTCACCCAGCTTTGCTGATTCCTTGCTTCCCTCCCTGACATTTTAATGTTGGAGTGGTCCAGGGCTCAGTCCTTTCTTTTGTCCATCTCTGCTACATTCAGTCCTGGTGACCTCACCCAATCTCTCGGCTCTAAATGCTGACTATCTGCTGATAACTCTCACATTTATAGCACCAACTGATCACTCTTTGAACTCTGTACCTGCATCTCCAAGTGCCTTCTCACCAGCTCCACTTGGATGAAAATCAACCTCTTGCCTATCTGGCTCAGCGGTCGTCAGCTCGTGGACCAGAGAGGCCCGAGTTCGGTTCCTGCTAAGGACATGTACCTCAGTTGCAGTTTGTCCCCGGCCCCAATTGGGGTCATGTGGGTGGCAACCAGTTGATGTGTCTCTCTCATGTTGATGCTTCTCTCTCTCTTCCTCCCTCCCGCTCTATCTGAAGACAAATGCAAAAATGGCCTTGGGTGAGAATAAAAATGAAAAAAGAAAATCGACCTCTTAACTATAGTATGTCCAACTCCTGCTCCTGTACCTGTAGTCACCTTCCCCTCAGGTGAATCCTTAAAGTTATGTAGGCCACAAATGTTAAAATCATCCTTGACTCTTCTCGTAGCCTATATCCAATCAGTAAGAAATCTTTATCCTTTAAAGTATATCCAGAATCCAACCACTTACCATCTCCACTGCTGCAGCTTAGTCCAAGCTACCCATCCCTTCTTTTGATTAGTCTGACAGCCTCCTTCCTGGTTTTCCTATCTCTATCCTTGCTCCTTCGTAGTCTACTCTAAATATAGCAACCAGAACCCTCTTTTAAAACCTGAGTTGCATCATGGCACTCCTTTGTTCTAGAATCCTCCAATGGTTCTCTATATCACTCCCAGGAAAAGCTGAAGTCCTTAGTGTGGCCCACAAACACCTCTGTGATCTGCCCCACTCCACTAATTCATTTTTGACAATTCTCACCCTCATTGACTCTGCTCTGGTCACACTGGTCTCCTTGCTGTTCCTTGATAAAACCAAGCATGTTTCTGCCTTGAGGCTTCTTCACTGAACGTTCCCTTTGCCAGACTGCTCTTACCTCTAATATGTACAGGTTCACTCCCTCACCTCACTCAATCTTGGCTCAGTAAGGCCTGTCATGATCACTCTATTTAAAATATTAACCTCTTAGATTCCAAAATGGTGGTGGAGTGAATGGAAGCTACACAGACCATCACCCAGGACCAAACTGGAATTACAACGAAAATAAAGACAAATCGTTGGAAAAAGCAACAGAAAAGGAGCTTGCGAGGACCATATAACCAGGGACACGGAACTGATCCTGGTAGAATTGTGGAGGGACGAGAGGGGGGCTGGGAGCCCCAGACAGCAGCAGTCTTAGCTGTGAGCAGCGCTCTTAGCTGTGAGCAGCGCTCTTGGGGTTAAAATTCCAAGCCCGCTCCACAGTGCAGAGGGCTGGGTCAGAAGCTAAAATAGCCACAGCCACTCACCTTGGGCTCTGGCAGAGGGAGGGTGGACTGGACTGGAACTGTGCAGGGACACTCGGGATTTGGAGGGCGCTCAGAACTTTTGCTGAGGTCGGTGGCCATTTACTTCTTCCCAGGGCTCTGGGGAGAGGCAGCTTTGGAGATTCAACCCCACCAGGCGGGCCATTGAAATGCAAACTGAGGCTCATTAACAACCAGCATCTGCCCCACCCTTGAGAAATCCTCTTACACTGGACACCTGAGGGAGTTTTGCATTTAAGTGAGAACTCAAGGCTCTTCAAGTACCCAGACTAATAACCTCTAGGCAAAAAACTGAGGGATAAAAGAACTGTTCCTGGGCTTGCAAATCTACCCAGGAAAGAACCCAAACAGGCCCACACCAAGACACATAGTAATTAAAATGCCAAAAGTTAAAGACAAAGAGAGAATCCTAAAGGCTACAACAGATAAGCAACAGGTTACCTACCAAAGGAACCCCTATATGGCTATCAGCTAACTTCTCAACAGAAACACTACAGGCCAGAAGGGAATGGCATGAAGTAATCAAGGTCATGAAAAACAAGGATCTGAATCCAAGACTACTCTATCCAGCAAAGCTGTCATTCAAAATAGAAGGTCAAATAAAGAGCTTCCCAGACAAAAGAAGGCCAAGGGAATACATTAGCACCAAACCAGCACTGCAATAAATGTTAAAAGGACTGCTGTAATTAGAAGAAATAGGAAGAAAAATATAACCACACTAAACAAAAAATGGCAATAAATAAGTACATATCAATAATCACCTTAAATGTAAATGGACTGAATGCTCCAATAAAAAGACATAGAGTAGCTGATTGAATAAGAAAGTATGACTCACATATATGTTGTTTACAAGAGACCCACCTCACAACAAAAGACTCAAATAGGTTGAAAGTGAAGGGATGGAAAAAAATCTTCCAAGCAAACAGAAAGGAAAAAAAAGCTGGGGTAGCAATGCTCATATCTGATAAAACAGATTTCAAAATGAAGGCCATGACTAGTGACAAAGAAGGTCAATAGATAATATTGAAAGCATTTATCCAACAGAAAGATATAACCTTGGCAAACATATATGTACCCAATATAAGAGCACCAAAATATATTAAAAATCTTCTGGAGGACTTCAAAGGAGAAATCAACAGTAATACAATCATAGCAGGGGACTTCAATACCCCGTTGACATCACTGGATAGATCCTCTAGAGAAAAAATTAACAAGGAAACAGAGACTCTAAATGAAGCACTAGACCAAATGCATTTAATTGATATCTACAGAGAATTATACCCCAAAACTACAGAATTCACATTCTTCTCAAGTGCACACGGGACATTCTCAAAGACAGACCACATGTTAGGACACAAACTAAATCTCTACAAGTTCAAGAAGACTGAAATCAGCCCTGGCCGGTTTGGCTCAGTGGTTAGAGCGTCGGCCTGCGATCCTGAGAGACTCGGGTTCGGTTCCCGCTAAGGGCGCGTACCTTGGTTGCAGTTTGTCCCCGGCCCTGGTCGGTTGTACGGGTGGCAGCCACTCGATGTGTTCCTTTCACGTCGATGTTTCTCTCTCTCTCTGTTCCTCTCTCTCCCTCCCACTCTACCTGAACAAAAAATGGAAAAATGTCCTCGGGTGAGGATAAAAAAAAAAAGAAGACTGAAATCATATCAAGCATCTTCTCAGATCACAATGGCATGAAACTAGAAATCGATTGCAACAAGAACATGCAAAGACATTGGAACACATGGAGGCTGAATAGCATGTTATTAAACAATGAATGGGTTACTGAGGAGATCAAGGAAAAAATTAAAAACTTCCTGGAAACCAATGAAAATGAACACACAACAACACAAAATCTATGGGATGCAGCAAAAGCAGTTCTGAGAGGGAAGTTCATAGCACTACAGGCTTACCTCATGAAACAAGAACAATTTCTAATAGATTATCTAACCTCACAACTGAAAAAACTAGAAAGCAAACAAAAAGAAAACCCCAGAACAAATAGAAGGAAGGAAATAGTAAAGATCAGAGCAGAAATAAATGACATAGAGACCAAGAAACAATTTAAAGGATCAATGAAACAAAGAGCTGGTTTTTCAAAATGATAAACAAGTTTGATGGACCCTTAGCTAGACTCACTAGGAAACAAAGACAGAGAACACAAATACACAAAATCAGAAATGAAAGAGAAATAATAACTCATACCACAGAAATACAAAGGATCGTTAACAAATACTATGAACAATTATATGGCAACAAATTGGACAATCTAAGCGAAATAGACAAATTTCTAGAAACACACAGTCTCCCAAAACTGGACTGGGAAGAGAGAAAACTTGAACAGACCAATAATAACTAAGGAAATTGAAGATGTAATCAAGACTCTCCCAGCAAACAAAAGCCCAGGACCAGATGGCTTCATGGGGGAGTTTCACCGAACATTCAAAAAAGAACTAACACCCATTCTCCTCAAACTATTTCAAAAAATTCAAGAAGAAGGAAGACTTCCAAACTCATTTTTATGAGGCCAGCATAATTCTAATTCCAAAACTAGAAAAAGACCCTACAAAGAAAGAAAACTACAGGCCAATATCCCTGATGAACATAGATGTCAAAATCCTGAACAAAATACTAGCAAATTGGATCCAGCAATACATCAAAAAAATTATTCACCATGACCAAGTGGGATTCATCCCAGGGATGCAAAGCTGGTACAATATTCGCAAATCAATAAATGTGATACACCACATAAACAAAATGAAAGATAAAAACCACATGATCATATCAATAGACACTGAAAAAGCATTCAACAAAATCCAGCACCTATTTCTGATAAAAACGTTCAGCAATGTGGGAATAGAGGGATAGATAATAAAAGCCATATATGAAAGACCTACAGCCAACATCATACTCAATGGGCAAAAACGAAAAGCATTTCCCTTAAGAACAGGAACAAACCCTGGCCAGTTTAGCTCAGTGGTTGGCGCGTCGGACAGCGGTCCAGAGGGACCCAGGTTCGGTTCCTGCTAAGGGCATGTACCTCGGTTGCGGTTTGTCCCCTGCCCTGGTTGGGTCGTGAGGGTGGCGGCCACTCAGTGTGTCTCTCTCACATCAATGTTTCTTTCTCTCTTCCACTCTCTCTCTCTCTCTCCCCCTCCCACTCTATGTGAACAAAAGGTGGAAAAATGTCCTCGGGTGAGGATTACAAAAAAAAAAAAAGAACAGGAACAAGACAGGGATGCCCACTTTCCGCCACTCTTATTTTACATAGTACTGGAAGCCTTAGCCACAGCAATCAGACATGAAGAAAAAATAAAAGGAATCCAAATTGAAAAAGAGGAAGTGACACTGTCATTATTCGCAGATGACATGATATTACACGTAGAAAACCCTAAAGACTCCATCAAAAATCTACTAGACTTAATAAATGAATTTGGCAAAGTAGCAGGATACAAAATTAATGTCAGGAAATCGACAGCATTCTTATACACCAATGATGAACTCACAGAAAGAGAAACTGAAAAAACAATCCCATTTACCATCGTGGCAAAAAAACTAAGATACCCAGTAATAAACTTAACCAAAGAAGTAAAGGACCTATTTGCAGAAAACTACAGGGCATTGAAAAAAGAAATAGAGGAAGATATAAAAAAGTGGAAGCACATATCTCGTTCATGGATTGGAAGAATTAACATCATTAAAATGTCCATACTACCCAAAGCAATCTATAGATTCAATGCAATCCCCATCAAAATACCAACGACATACTTCACAGAACTAGAACAAATACTTCAAAAGTTCATATGGAACCAAAAAAGACCCCGAATAGCCAAAGCAATCTTGAAAAAGAAGGACAAAGTAGGTGGGATCACAATACCGGATAGCAGGTCATACTACAAAGCTACTGTAAATCAAAACAGCCTGGTACTGGCACAAGAACAGGCATATAGACCAGTGGAACAGAACAGAGAACCTGGAAATTGACCCAAGATATTATGCTCAATTAATATTTGACAAAGGTGGCAAGAGCATACAGTGGAGTAAGGACAGCCTCTTTAATAAATGGTGTTAGAAAATTGGACAGCTACATGCAAAAAAATGAAACTAGATCATCAACTTACACCATACACAAAAATAAACTCAAAATGGATAAAAGACTTAAATGTGACTTGTCAATCCATAAAAATCCTAGAAGAAAATGTAGGCAACAAAATTTCAGACATCATACTCAGCAGAATTTCCACTGATACATCACCTAAGGCCAGAGAAACAAAGGAAAAAATGAACACATGGGACTACATCAAACTAAAAAGCTTCTGCACAGCAAAAGAAACAACCATCAAAATGGAAAGGGATTCCACTATATGGGAGACCATACTTGCAAATGATGCACCAGATAAGGGGTTCATTTCCAAAATATACAGAATGCTCATACAACTCAACAAAAGGAAGACAAAGAACCCAATTAAAAAATGGGTAGAGGAACTAAATAGACACATCTCCAAACAGGACATACAAATGGCTAAGAGACATATGAAGAAATGCTCAACACCACTAATCATCAGAGAGATGCAAATTAAAACAACAATGAGGTATCACCTGTCAGATTGGCCTCCATCAACAAATCTTCTAACAAGTGCTGGCAAGGGTGTGGAGAAAAGGGGGCTGTAGTACACTGCTGGTGGGAATGCAGACGGGTGCAGCCACTATGGAAAACACTATGATGTTACCTCAAAAAATTAAAAATTGAACTTCCATTTGACCCAGTGATCCCACTTCTAGGAATATACCCTAGGAAGCCTGAAACACCAATCGGAAAGAATATATGTATCCCCACGTTCATAGCAGCACTATTTACAATAGCTAAGATCTGGAAACAGCACAAGTGTTCATTAGTAGACGAGTGGATAAAAAAGCTGTGGTACATATACACAATGGAGTACTATGCAGCTATAAGAAAGAAAGATCTCTTATCCTTTGAGACGATATGCAGGGACCTGGAGAGTATTATCCTAAGTGAAACAAGCCAAACAGAGAAAGAGAAATATCACATGATCTCACTTATTTGTGGACTATAATGAATATAACAGTCTGAGTAACAAGGTAGACCCAGAGACGTGGATGTAGGGTACAGACTGCCAACCCTCAGAAGAGGGGGTGGGGGGGAGATAAACCACAGAACTCATATGCATATATGCATAACCGATGGACATCGACAAAGCTGGGGATGGGGTGGGGGGGAACGGGGAGGAGGGTGTCAATGGGGAAAAAAGGAGAAACATTCATAACAAAAGTAAATTAATAAAAATAAATAAAAACATTAACCTCTTCCCATACCAGCATTCCTGATCTTCCTTACCATTCTTTTTTGTTCCAGAACACACTTTAATACAATAATCAGCAAACTTCTACAGTATAGTCTAAATTATCACCTGCTTCTCTCATGAGGCTAAGTGCCTTGTTCCCTCCTTCCCTATAATCATTTTATCGAGGTCATCCTTAAAAATGTCAAACAGTTTTATGTCAATTATATCTCAAAAAGAAAAAAGAATGTTAAGCTTCTTACTTAAGACTATTCTAAGTAGTGACCAAGAGCTGGGATAGACAGTAATAACATTTATTTAGTTTTCTATTTTCAATATCCCTGCGGGGAAAATAACAGGGGTTCAACTAAAGACTAAAATAAAATTGTAAAGTCACAACTATGATTATATCTCAAATAAAATGCAGAATTCTATATATAAGCCAGGTGAGAAATACTATACAATTGTTCCCTTCAAAATACATCTAGGTGCTCAGAACAATTTTAATCACTTAGTAAATAAAGGAGGAATATCATCTAAGTAGCCTTTGTGATTATTTCTTTTATTTAATAAGTAATTAATAATTTTCATTAGAGAGCAATTTTCTTTATTGCCCTGTCTAAAGCTAAAATCAGTTAATTTGAGCTTTAAAACTTTTAATTACAACACGGCTGTTTATTAACGGTTTTTAAAAGTAGTTTTAAAAAAACAGTATTTACCTAACACAGTTAGAAAACATTCTCCTGCACTCACATATTATAGACAGACTGCTCTAGGTTCTTGCACCACAACCCTTCCCCACCTTTTAAAATTGGACCCCTTACTTTGTCATAAATCACTTTTATAATGAGAGAGCAGCTTGGACACGTTGCCACGTCTTCCCCATTCTCCAGATCTTCCTATAACAAAATCAAACACCGTGAAATCAGCATTGCCTTCCCTTTGCAAACGCCTCCTCCCAAGCCCTCCCACCCCTACGGGCAAGCTCCTTTGTGGCTGGCCTCCCCACAAGGTATGTGAGGGCCAAAGGGGCCTTCCCATACAAGTGCCAACCCCAATTTTCCCTGGGAGTGTCACTTGGGGGAAATACCCTGAAAGATCAGTCAAGGTTCAGTCTCCTCAAAACCTCTGGGAAGACAAAAACGGGTCCCTTCCTTCAAAGAAGTATCCCAGGGAGGTGGACCCGAAGGGGGACGCTAAGTAGGGGAGGGTGGCAAGAAGTCCGATGCACCCACTCCCTGCTTCCCCACGCCCAGGCCTGACTGAAGGCCGGAACGGAATGCCCACTGAGAGCTGAGAATATCAAATTTGGGGGGATTCACAAACAGGATAAAAAGGGCGTGGATGACTTGAGCGGCGTGGGCTACGGAACGGCGGAAGGAACACGCCAGAGCGAAACGCGCCAGCTCCAGCGAGCAGCCGGGCGGGACACTGAAGTTACCTTGGTGATGCAGAAGTTATCGCCACAAGGGCAGGGGTAGAAATACGACTCCAGGTCCTCGTCATATTGGAAGTCCTCGATTTCCACCTCATCGTGAAACACCGCCATGGTACTGGGGCCCGACGAGAGCCTCCACCGGCCGAAACCGACCGGGTCGGTCTAACTTCGCGGACGCCGGCTCCAGCTGGGTGTTGTCACCACGCACCGGCGCAGGAACTTCCGCTTCCGGCGCCTCGACTATGACGCTACTGCAGGCTTGGAGGCCAAATGGGTGACCCGATAGTGGTCACCATGGAGATGACTGAGATGGGTTAGGGAGACTGCGGATGAGCATGCTCGCGGCTCAGGCGTGTCTTGCCTGCGCCGCCCATTGGATGGAAGTGACCAATAGAATGTGAGGTTCGCTCGCGCAGCTGTCACGTCACGTCAGGGACACCGGAAGCTTCCGGGCACCGGCGGCGGAGTTTGGCTCCGTTCTGGTGGATAGGTGCTCGCAGTGTCGGCGGCGCGGAGGCGTGTCAGTGCGGCTGTGGTTGCCGGGCCCCAAGTCGGTGGAGCTTAGGCCTTAAGCAGACCTCACTGCAGGCCGCCGCACGGCTGGGTGGCACAGCCTGGGCCCTCGCGCCCCGGGGGGAAGGACCGCAGCTCAGCTGCTCAGCCTTCTCGATCTCTCTGCCTTCCCGGCGACCAACGAAAAGCTCCCTTGGAATTTCGATTCTCCGGGTGACCTTGAACTCTCAGAGAGACGCCTAAGCTTGCAGTTCTGGCCGCACTCGGCTGTTCAGGTATATCCCCGCCTTTTCACTACCCCAGATTATCTTCAAATGCCCTACATTGTGTCGCCGAAAGGACCAAGACCTGGGAGCTCTAGTCCTGTTTGCCAAGCATATGACATTATTTACTACAGTGATTTGTAATAACTAGTAACCTTTTATTATAAGGGAGTTTGCTTTGTGCCCGGCATTGCGCCAAGTGTAATTCTTCCATCAACCTTGGGAGTTTAGATGTTATTCCATATTATTAATCTTCAAACTGAGATACAAAGAGTTGGGTATCTTGACCAAAATCATGCACCTAGGAAATGAAGAGCTTGTCTGTCCCCAAAGCCTGAGAACACATTACTTGTATGAACCACAGTTCATATATGAAAGGAATGGATAGCATCGACAAGCAGAGTTATTACTATAAAGCCTCTTTATACCTTGAAGTGAAATGCAAATAAAAGGTGCTTTGCCCTGGAACAGTGCTAGTGCCTGTATTAGTACAACCGGATTCCATGCGGGGTAGTGTTTCATTACTAGGTATTAATTCAGATCTTGGTAGAGAAGGAATGCAGTGCAGTGAAAAAAAAAAAAAGCAGATCTGGGTCCAGACCCTGACTGTTGTAGCACTGGCAACTGGATATTTAAATTCTTTGGGCCTTATTTCTTTTTCTGACTAAAACAGGGTTGGGTTAGAGATTATTTACAAGATCCCTTTCAGATCTAACATTCTACTTTGTGGGAATTATGAGTGTTACTTGGTTCAGCAGTCACATATCACATGTACCGTACCTAGTTTATTTTTACATAGTACATATACATAATACTCACATATGTTCATGTCCCTATGCATATTTATGTATACACACTCAAATGTTTGCATGAAGTTACCAGTTTTGTGCACACTGAAATGAAGTTTCACCTAGGTTTGCCCTTTCAAGGCTTGAAAATCTGAAGGCAGAGGAGTCTGGGAGAAAATCCAGAGGTTACATTAAAGGAGTTTATAGAAGATTATTTCAAAGGCCTCCGGAACAGTCCACTTTGCATAGTTGGAGATCTACCCAGAAGTTAAGAAACATTTTTAAACCTTTTGAGGGTTAACTGTGATGATACTGCTCTGTCTGAGCAAAGGAGAAATTCCAGCAAAGCCCACTTAGCCCAGTGGCTGCTCCCTGTATCTCTGTAAACACACATTACTTCCCAGATAGCCTCTTGGAGACAACAGGCGGGGGGAGAATCTCCAGTGCCTGTTCTGTAGTCTCAGTGAGCATTTTGAGGTTAGGAACCATCACTTGTTCTTCAGTGCTTCTGAGAATAAGTACCTAAAAGTTAAAGATGAACCATTTTTGAATGTACAGAAGTGGGTGCAGTCATACTTGTTTCATGTAAATATAAATTAGTAGACCTTTTAAAAAGCAATTTGTATCAATCAAAAACAATTCTCTGGGGAATCTTAAAATCTGAGGTTAGGCCCTGGCCGGTTTGGCTCAGCGGTTAGAGCGTCAGCCCGCGGACCAGAGAGACCCAGGTTTGGTTCCCGCTAAGGGCACGTACCTTGGTTGCAGTTTGTCCCCTGCCCCACTGGGCCGTGTGGATGGCAACCACTCGATGTGTCTCTCTCACATCGATGTTTCTCTCTCTCTCCCTCCCACTCTACCTGAACGAAAAAAAAAAAAGAAAGAAGATAAATGCAAAAATGTCATCAGGCGAGGATAAAAATAAAAAATCTGAGATTAGTAGTCCTAACAGTTACAGGGGTTCGGGATAATTAAAAAAATTTTTCTTTGTAATTTTCCAACTTTCCTTTGAATATGTATTACCTAAAATGGAAGAAAAAAAACTAATGAAACAATAATAACTGACACTAGGTGCCAGGCACTGTACTAAGTAGTTTACATGCATTGTTTCATTATAACAGCCCAATAAGGTATAGGTATCATTAATACCATCTTCAGAATTGGGAAACTTGAGGTTTGGGGACTAAGGAGACTTGCCTAAGGAGCAAAGCTGGTAAGTGGCAGTAGCTATGGTGAGAACTCAGATCTGTCTGACCCCAGAATGTAGGCTTTTCATAACTCTAATATGATCTGTGATATGATAGTGTTGAAGCAGAGCTAGATTAAACAGGTAGCCCTGGAGCTCTGCGGACTGCTGAGGTTTTCACTAGAGCAGTGCTGGTTCCCTAGAGACCTAGATTTCAGTGTCTCCTTGGCCTTCCATACTGTTGTCATACTATTGTCTGTTGGCCATACCCCTTGTCTGGCCAGAGGTGACTCCCCCTATGCTTCTTCCCAGTTTGGAGTTCATATTGTGCTGAGGAAAATAAGACCATAGCCAAACATGTGATGCAGGTGGGGTTTTTTTGTTTTGTTTTTTTACTTTCCCCAGCATTTTTTTTTTTTTTATCCTCATCCAAGGACATTTTTGCATTTATCTTCAGATAGAGCAGGAGGGAGAGTGGGAGGAAGAGAGAGAGAAACATCGATGTGAGAGAGACACATCTGGTTGCCACCCACACGACTGCAACCCGTGCCAGGGATAAACTGCAACCGAGGCACCTGCCCTTAGTCACTAAGTGGGAACCAGACCTGGGTCTCTCTGGTTCGTAGGTCGGTGCTCTAACCGTTGAGCCGAACCAGCCAGGGCTCTCCAGCATTTTTAAGTAAAACATTACAATGACTATTAAACTTTATATTTATTCTTAAAAGGATTGGGTACATTCTGTAATGAGATATCTTTGGACCCCAAAACCATGACAAAAGCAGATTTACTAGTCACTGTAGGATCATTTGGGATCACAAATATATGACTGAAAAAACATTTTTTTTTTTCTTTATTGATTTTATAGAGAGGAAGGGAGAGGGAGAGAGAGAGAGAGAAATATCGATGAGTGAGAACATTGATTGTCTGCCTCCTGCATGACCCCCACTGGGCATTTGGCCCACAACCTGGGCATGTGCCCTGACCAGAAATTGAACCAGTGACTTCTTGGTGCATGGGTTGATGATCAACCATTGAGCCTCACCGGCTGGGCAAATATTTTTTTTAACAACACTAGTGGTCTGGAAAATAACAATGACCAAAATTCTTAACATAAGATTGAACTTAGAAATAAGTCACAATTATATCATAGAAACTCTATTTTATGAGTACTATAATATATTCAGGTTAAGGGGAATTGTTTATTAGTAGTATCAAATCACTACCTCTTGAGATTGACAGGGAGCCCCTGCATTTGGTTCAGTGTTTGTAACACTCTTGCTTGCCAGGTACTTCCATAGACATTTATTTCTTTCAGCAGTCCAATGAAGTGGCGTTGGCATTCCCATTTAAAAATGGTAAGAGGTGCCCTGGCAAGTTTGGCTCAGCAGTTAGAACGTCGGCCCGAGGACCAAAGAGTCGTGGGTTTGATTCCAGTCAAGGGCATGTACCTCGGTTGTGGTTTGGTCCCCAACCCTGGTCGAGGTTGTGCAGGAGACAGCCAATCGATGAGTCTCTCTCACATATTTTTCTCTCCCTCCCTCCCCCATCTTCTCTTTTCTCCCTCCCTCTCCCTCCTTCTCTCCTTCCCACTCTTTCTGAAGATAAATGGGAAAATATCCTCAGCTGAGGATTTAAAAAAAAGATTAAGAGGTGACTGGCCCAACATCAAAAAGCAGGAATGAGTCAGATCTGAGTCCAGGTTCACAGATTCCAAGTCAAGCACTCTTGATATAGCTTGTAGGCCACTAGGGTTCCCTTACCAAATGCCAGAAACTCCTTTGCTGCTTCAGTGGTACCTGGAATTCTAAATCAACAGGTGTCATGATATTTCTGTGAATTCACTGTATTGCAGGGCATTAATGATCTTTGAGGCATTCTTGCTTCTTCTCTTTCTCTCGCTACTCTCTCACGTCATCCAACCTATGACCAAATTTTAGGGTTTTGAATTCTAAAATAAATTTTATGTTCATCTACTCTGTCATTTCTGTAGCTTAATCCTACTCTAATCTTAGACTAGAGCCTTCTAACTGAACTTCCTGCGTTGACTCTTGCCCCTCTATGATCAGTTCTTCACATAGCAGCCTGAATGATCCTTTAACATAAATTTGATCATGTCCCTCACCAGGTTTATTCAGACCATTCAGTTGCTTCCCATTGACCTTAGAATAAAACCCATACCCTTACTATGGCCTGATGTGATCTGGCATGTCTGCCTGCTTGACTTCACCAGTGTGACTGTAATTGGACCTCTGCCCAAGATGCTCTGCTCTTAATGTCTACTTGGCTGCCTCCTTCTTATCATTCAGGTTTCAGCTCATGTCTGTTGAGAGAGACCTTTCTTGATATGCCCCCATCCACCCCACTACTCTTTGTGTGTGTGTGTGTATTGATTTTAGAGAGAGAGAGAGAAGAAGGGAATACACCCTAACCAGAGATCGAACCCACAACCTTGGCATATCGGGATGAAGCTCTAACCAAGTGAGCTACCCTGCCAGAGCTCTACTCTTTATTTCTTTTATCACACTCACTGTAGTCAGTAATTGTTTAGTCAGTTGTCTGTTTACTTTTATCTGTCACACACTATAATATAAGCTTCATGAGGGCAAAGACCTTGTGTCTGGGTCTTTATTGTGTCTCCATGGGCTAAAATAGTGCCTGGTACTCCAGTAATTGTTTAATCAATTGAGTGTACTTATTGAACAGAAACCAGTGTAGTTCGTTTTAAGTCTTAAATTTAATCTGCTGCTTGTAGTATTTTTTTACTACTTAAATTGATATGTTTTATTTAGCATTTATGACAGTTTTCTGTTTCAGAAGTAGAGTTATTTAAGGGTTTTTTTGGTGCGATAAGACCTATGAGGATACAAACATTTACAGAATATTTTTGTTTGTATGGTTTTAGAAATTATTAAATATATGTTAATATTACATAGTTAATTAAATTGAATATATGAAACCATTGGACATGTTTCAAAAAATAGGTGTGTGTGTGTATGTGTTTGTGTGTTTAATACCTTATTGCTTTGAAAGTCACTTTCAATACAATTTGATAAAAAAAATACCCTTTCTTTACCAGTAGGTGGCACTCTTGGTCATGGTTATTATTACAAAACAAGAATTTTAGAATTTTAAAGAGAACAGCTTTTAAACATTAACATTTCATTGTTTTTCAGTTCATTTGAGCAGTAGACTATTCAGACAGCATAATCACTAGAAACTATCTTATGTGAGGACTATTTTAGCAACAGTTGTCTAAAACATTGAGCAGAATAATGTTTTCACATTACATTTTATTAGGGGACTTGGCTTTAAATGACACTGTATCATTCCAGCCATTGGTCTGGTCTTTCATAGGGTGGAATCAGAAAAGTGGGAAAAAAACAATCAGAAAAGTCCTGGTCAGTGTTTCTCTGTAGCTTAATCCCACGCATCAAGAGTCTCAGGTTCGATTCCTGGTTGAGGATGTGTGCCTGGGTTTCAGGTTAAATCCCTGGCCCAGCGGGGCTCATGTAGGAGGCAATTGAAATGTCTCAAATCAGTGTTTCCCTTCCTTCCTCCCTACCTTCATTCTATCTAAAATCTACGGAAAAATATCCTCGGGTGAGGATGAACAAACAAACAAACAATCTGAAAAAACAATAAGAGGAAAGAAGAGTAGAAAGATGAAAGGAAGACTTGAGGAAAGGGGAAAGTGAGAGCGGTGTTGCTGTGAGGTGATGCCTGCTGATTGTAACAAGCCTTTTCTTTTGCAGCTCGAAGATAGCAGTGCTTTTAACAGTTTTCCAAAACATTGTTCTTATGTGTTGTCTCTGCCATTGTAGGAACTTTGTGAGAATTTCAGTATATGGAAACACTGTCCAGTTCCAACCAGTGTGTATCCAAAGGTCTCAGTATAATACCAGGACCAAAATACTGCATATCAGTCAGCCAGCCAGCCGTATACTTAATGACTCCTAAAAATCTCATGGACTTCTAAAGTAAGTTTCTTTCGATGATTAATACACCATTTTTGGGTTAGCATATTTAAAGGAGAGAAACTACATTTAGTAGTCTTGCATAAGTTAACAGGCATTAAACTTTATTCATGTACTCAAGAGAAAAATAGTGAATAGCATTTATCCACAGTGATGCTACATCATACTATGGCAAGAAATAGATCCTTTACCTTATCTAAAGATTAGTTATGAAGCAGTGGCTTTTTAATACGATTTGATTATAACCGAATAAATTACATATGACATGTTACCTCCTGATTGATTTACTTTTATTTATTTTCTGTCTCTATCTTCTAAAATCTGAGCTCCTCGAGAAGGTCTTTGTTTTGTTAATGTCTGTGTTCTCAGTGCCTGACACATAATGGGCTCTTCATAAATATTTGTCAAATGAAAGCCTGAATGAAAGAGTATGGAGTACAACAGAAGCACATCTAGCTTGAATATTTTTCTAACACTACATTTATTACAATTAATTTATGTAGTGCTTTCCAAAGAGCTTAGAAAAAAAGGGTGTTCACATACATCGTCACTGATTCTCAAGCTAAGATAGGCAATATAACGTTAAAAGTGGCCAACTTAGGCAAAGAAATATTTAAAAATTGGCTGAGGAAAACAGAATGGTAGGAACTAAAAAATACATCATCTGACTCCCAATCAGTGCTTTTCCTGATAGACAAATAGTTTTTAGACTTTGAAACATTGGGAACCTTCATAGACACAGACAATAGCATGGTGATTACCAGAGGGAAAAGGAGTGGAGGGGAAGTAGAAGAAGGTATAGGGAGGATAAGGGGTGATGGAAGGGGATTTGGGGTGGTGAACACACAATGCAGTATACAGATGATGTATTATGGAACTGTACACCTGAAACCTATATAATTTTACTAACCAATGTCACCTCAATAAATTCAATAAAAAAGAAAAAAGAAAGAAATGTTGGGAACCTTTCTGGGTTTTTGTTTTTTAAACATTTTATTCAACTATAACTAACAAACAGAAAAGTACAGAAATCCTAAGAGGACAGCTTGGTTAATTTTTTTAAAATTAGGACAATTTTTTTTAGAGCAGTTTTAGGTTCCTAGCAAAATTGAGGGGTAAGTACAGAGATTTCCCATATATCCGCTGCCCCTACACATGCATAGCCTCGCCCATTATCAACATCCCCCACTAGAGTGGTACAGTGGTTACAGCTGATGAACCTGCACTGACACATCATTATCACTCAGTCCATAGTTTCTGTCATGGTTCGCTCTTGGTGTTGGACATTCTATGGGTTTGGACAAATGTATAACAGTATGCATCCATCACTATGGTATCATACAGAGTATTTTTACTGCTCTAAAAATCCTTGATAATTTGATGAACTTTTACAAAATGAGAATCCCCATGCAGTCAGCATTCAGATTAAGAAATAGCATTGTCACTGCTACTTCGCAAGGGTAACTGCTAGCTTGATCTCTAGCTTCACAGAATAATTTCGTCTGTTTCTGTACTTTATGTTACTGGGTCCACAGACTGTGTGCTTTTTTGAGTGGCTGCTGTCATGCTCTTCATTCACTGTGATGTTGGTAGAAGTCACTGTTACCACATGTAGTTGCAATGTGTTCTTGTTGCTGTGAACCTTGCACTTTATCTAATAAGAAATATTAAAGACTTACGAGGTGCTCTTTGGTTGGAGTACAGTTATCAGACAGTTAGGAAATCTACTCTCCTGTGATAGTGTAAGCTTAGTCACGTGAACTTGGTCAGAGATTTTGGAAACTAAGAGACAACGTGAATATTTGGTGGCATCAGTGATTACATACATATGTACCGTGGAGATCAGTTGAATCAACTCTAGATAGTGGCAGACATTTTGTCAGGGTGAATTAGGCCCTTAATTGCTTTGCCATTAGATCAGCTTATAACAGCGCCAACAAAAATCTAAACTCTTCTTCACTGGTCCCTAAAATAGTTTGATATTTCTCTACTTTTTCTTAACATATTTTATTTTCAGTTTTCTTTTTGCCCAGGAAGCACCATGGCCTATGCTGCTGTCTTGACTGCGGGGTTATTTCGAGGCTCTGTCTGCTCCCAGGCTGCTTTGTCAAGAGCGATACCTAGGGCTTTGCGCCACCTTACTCTCACCAGGTGAGTCATCAGCCTTCAGTGTCATTTGAAGTTGATTGTCAAAGAGACCTGACCTGCTGGTGGTCATGGCATAACATAGCATACTGCTTAAGTGTGCATGGCATCAGTAAATCGTCCAACTTTAGTTAGATGTGCGAATTTTCATCGATCATTTTGTACGGTCCATAATGTTATATTGTATTTTGGATGTCATGATATTACAGGGGAAACTAATTTAGTTCTTTCGTATGAGGATAATACTTAATAACCTAATTTTACCCTCTGTTGTAGCATAATGAAATCCAAAAGGAAAACTGATCACTTGGAGAAAACTGCAAATGCCGTTCGACAGGAGGTGTGTATCTTGGGGCTGTGGCAGGCTTTTCTCGGTGGGACAGTTTGCACACAGTTGTGACTGCCTGTGGAGAAGGCACTAGGTGAGCTTTGTGCCTTCCAAGGATCATCAGGGAATGTTTGTTATTTTTCTGTTTAGAATTTTTCTGCACAGGACATGTGGCAACTGATTTGCAAAGATCACAGTGAAATACTCAGATTTTTCCCATTAAATTTGGAATGACTAGATTAATTTTTTGATGAAGGAAATAGAGCAGCAGTTGAGGGAACTGTCCTCGCAGGTGTGACGTGTAGGGTTACATTTTAGGGCCAGAACTTTTAGAACCCACATTTTATGAATAGCTTACCTTTCCTTTTTTCCCCTTATTTATTAGTTTATTTATTTTTGACACCATGTCTCAAAGTCCTTGTTCTTATCCCTACTTAGAACAACTCCTTATTTCATCAAGGGAGAAAGCACTAACATCTGAGAAAGGAAGGTGGACGAGCTCTTATTTGCGCTGATTTTCCCACCATACTCTCACTAGAGAAAGCTAATCCACCAGCCGAAGGGGTCGAGGGCTGGGAAATAAGGATCCTCACCCTTTCCCTCAGTGAGTAACCACCTTTTCTTTTAAAAACTTAAGTTGGATATTTGTTTTGCTTTCTGAGTGATTCTTTACATATATGGATATATTTAGTTTAGTATTATAAGTTAAAAATCTGTTTCATATCAGGAAGGATTTATACAGTTCTTTGAGCATGGTCAGAAATTGTATTGTTGAAGTAGTTTAATTTCTAGTCATAGTAGCAAGACACTCTTTAATGTGAAAGAGTGTTGTTTAGGCCCCACTTTTCAAACTGGTTCTATTTTCAGAAAATTGCTTTGGGACTGAGGGTGGTGTGCTTGTGGATTCAGCTTTAAGCCAATGTGTATTTGAGACATTTGTGTAAAATTACTTCAACATAATAGATTTGTGGATGTGTGGGAAAATACTTTTCCCACTGATGATAAATCTGAATACTTTTTGGGGGGGAGTGTTTGTTTAGCACACAAAAGTGCTGATTCTGTAAATGTGAGATTTGTTAGAATTTCCTTTTTAAAAAGCGAAACCTTGCCAGTTTAAAGAAAAGTGGTTTGACAGTTTTGGACTAGATATACTCTTTTCTGTTATATTTTTGAGAGAGGTAGAACTAGAGCAGAATTTGGCAGATTTTCTGTAAAGGGCCAAACAGTCTAAGTATTTTTGGCTTCATGGGCCAGTCTTAGCCCCAACTATAAAATTCTGCCTTTACAGTGTGAAAACAGCCACAGTCACACACATAAACAAACCGGTGTGGCTGGGTTTCCATAAAATATTCTTTGTCAGGGCACCCAGATATGGACTGTGGGTCGTAGTGTGCCAGTCTCCAAATTAGAATAGTCATCTCAGGATTTTACAGGACAGAATTATTGAGACTTTTGGTGAAGGGGATTATTTAGAGCCAATTTTAGGAAAACTGCACAGAAAGTTAATGTAAACTCTAATCGTGTGATTAAAAAGTTGAGAACTTTTAATGCCTAGAAGTCAGAAAATTGTAGGGCTAATTTGACCAGGGTTTTACCTTGGCGGAAGAATTTTCCAGTTGCAGCTCTTCTCCTTCTGTTTCTAATTTCCACTTCTTTTCCAAACAGAATAAGAACTGAGAACTGGGAAGAGCTGGATAAAGCTAGATGATGTCCTACCTCAATAGAATAAGATCACCAGGGGCTCGCCCCAGTCCAGCCTTGGACTTGTTGAAATGGACAGCACCTCATGTTGGGCCATAACAGAACTGGCCCATACGTGGTCTTGTCTACCACTCTTGGCTTTAATTTGTGTTGCAAGTATAGTTTACAGAACTCCCCAATATGCCATTTGCTCTTCAGTTCAAGTCTGTGTGGTAGTCTAAGGATAGGATGACAGCTACATTTTACAAAAGAGGAAACAGAACCTAGGAGATAACCAGTGGCTTCTCCCAGGGCCAGAGGGAAGTGACAGCCCAAGTCTGTGATTCTTAAGCCAAAGGACCCTGTTGCCCCGCTTGGGTGCATAAAGAATGGAGCACTCTCCCACCCAGAAACCTCCTTTCCTTTCCTATAGAGAACTTAGCGAATGAGCATATTGTAATGTTGATTCTTCTTACTTGAGACTGTAAATATAACCAGTCTGGAGTCCTGCTGATGCAGGAAACTGAGCTCTGAATGGAAAGACATTTGACTGTTTGTGTTGAGTTCACAATTTTTTCTAAGGGTCAAAAGAATAAGCAGTCTGGGTAACCTTAGAAATGTCAAGGAGATAAGAGTAGAAATACTGTAATGTAGTAAGGATTGTTCAGGCAAGACTAAGTTTTCACTGGGGAGTCACTGTGTGCTTGGCTTGGTGGAGGGCTGGCCCGCTGAGCAAGATACGCCCTGTTCTTCAGTTTGATGGGAGAGTCTGGTAATAAAAGAAGTTTTTAAATTACTGATTTTATGCAGTCCTTTGGAAATATGCTAGACAGTGGGCTAGGTCCTGGGGTAACAGCATTGAAAATGTTAGATAAGATTCCTTATCTCAGATTTGCGTGGGACTCTGATCAGAAGAAAGTGATTGTGTGCACATAATTGATTTTGGGAAAACCACTAATCCTTTTTCAGTTGTACTAGTTTGCTTTTTTTAGAAGCCTATGCCTTATCCTACAGATGCCTATGTGTGTTGTTATCTTTTTGTTTACAAAGCACTTGGTTATACAGTAAGTTGTTACTTGATCCTCACAGCCACCCTGGGAGGGAGGTGTAGGGATCCTTATCCCCATTTCACAGATGAGGAAATGAAGACTTCAGAGATTTGGGCGGTGTGACCCTGCCTCCTGATTTGCCTGGGGTGGTCCTGGCTTATGCCTCTTGTCCTGGTGGAATTATCAATAGTACCCCTTTTCACTCCCACAAATATCCTGTTTTAGATGATAAATTAAGTTGTCAGCCCAAGTTTAAAGGACTTGGCTTAAACTCAAATCTTTGGTATCAAATTGATTTTTCTTCCTACTACAACAAAAGAATGTGTCACTTAATTTAGACAAAGTTTAATTGAACGATACAATGGAAGATAAATGCCACATAGCCTCATCTCTGTTCCAAATCAAAATTTCACTTAAGTGCACTGGGCGTAAGAAAAGGGGTAGTTAGTAGCTGGTATAGCAGTTAGCTAACGATGTCAAATTGCTGAGCACCTGTGGCGGAGACTTTTGGGGACTGCATGGGTCCCAGTGCTGATTGTTGAGTGCTAATTATCTGCTTGACTTAATGATTTTGCTGAGGCCTGGGTTTGAGTAGGATGGGCTGCTTAGCTGAAAAGCTGGCCTGCGCCTCAAGTATAACCCTTACAGTTCTCCGTTAGTCAGTCATCACCTGCACATGTTGGGGACATTGTAGCTGGAGTGGCCTTCTTCAGCTTGGCGTGGAAGAGGGGCATCTTTGTAATACGGACTGCTTCCCAGTAGTGGGACACCTAATTTGCTTTGATCATCAGAGTCTGTGGTCAGAGAGCCTTTTAGAGATGATCCAGCCTGGGGCGAGCAGTGCTTGGCATCCCGGCCTCATGAAGATCTGACAGAGCAGAGAGTGGTGGGGAGAAGACTCAGGCACCCACCACCCAGAGGTAGCTGTAGGGCTTGTGAAGGGCCTGGCCCCAGTCTCTTGGAGAAACTCCTGGGGAGGTGTAGTCCTGGCCCTGGCAGCTGGTCTCTGGCTCCTCAGGTGCACAGCTCACCCTGCTGAGTAAAGGGAGGGAGCCTGGCTGGGGGAAGGCTCAGCTTTACAGTGCTGTAGCCTAGTATCCAACACAGTGCCAACATAGCATAGGCACTTGGCACAGTTTCACTGAGTAGAATAAACAGTGTTAATCCCTCCTGACGACCGAACTGCCTTGGACGAGTCACTTTGTAAAGTAGCAGCAGTGAAGATGAGCTGATAATACAGGTGGACTCTATCATTCTATACAGATACAGCTGTGAAAACTGAGGACTTGCCTGTACTGCTATTTCTTAACTATGCCCAGAACTTAACTTGGTGTCTAAATGTGTAGTGTCGGTGCTTTTCACTGACACCTTCTGTTCAATAATGTAAATGATCCAAGAGGCAAGGTTTTTTCCCATTCCCCCCAGGGGATCCATCGGAGGAAGTGTTTTATTTCACATTCAGCAGGCGTGCGGATGCGTGCTGTATGCCCAGCCCTGCTGTAGGTGCAGGGGATACTGCAGCTTCATTCTGGTGCAGATAAATCAGAGATTGTCAGGTGTCATATAACTATGAAGGAAGTAAAACGGTAATGGTGGGGGTAGGGGTGCTATTTTATTTTATTTATTAAAATTTGTTTTTCTTTATTGATTTTAGAGAGAGAGGAAGGGAGAGGGAGAGAGGGATAGAAACATTGATGAGAGAGAACATCGATTGGCTGCCTCCTGCATGCCCCCCACTGGGGATTGGGCCCACAACCTGGGCATGTGCCCTGACCAGGAATCGAACCAGCAACCTTGTGGTGCATAGGTCTGATGCTCAACCACTGAGCCACATCAGCTGGGCTGGGGGTGCTATTTTAAATGGGCGTGTAACATTTGAGCTGAGATTTGAATATGGAAAGAGCAGACAGGTGCACAGCATGCCTGGCAGAGGGACTGGCAAGAGCCAGGCTTTGGTCAGGAATGAGCTTGGCGTGTTCAGAGGAAGGTGGTAGAGTGAGAGGGTAGTCAGGGCCCAGGGTGTATACATTGTGGGCTTGGATAAGGAGTTGGAATTTTATTCTAAGGGTGATGGATGATTTTAAGCAGGGAAATGACATATGATTTACACTTTAATGGGTCATCTGTTTGCTTGGTAGAGCACTGGGTTGTTGTGCTTTGACACCCGGCTGGAGGCTTCCGACAGTCCCAGGAGAGGCGATGGTGGCTTAGAGTGCGCTGTGTGTTGGGGATGGAGAGCAGTGGGTGGACCTGGGTCAGACGCAGGGCTGATGGGATTCACAG